CTTGCTCAGGCTGGTTTTGAACTCCTGAGCTCAAACAATCCACCCGCCTCGGCCTCCCAGAGAGCTAGGATTACAGGCGTGAGCCACTGCACCCGGCCTTGGCTTTCTTTTTAATGTTTGAGTTTTTCTAGTCTCCAGTGCTGAGCTTTGGCGCAGAGAGGAGAAAACCTAGCTTCTGTAGTGTGAAGGGCATGTGGATTTAAGGGTTGGGGCTGATTATCTCTGTGGGCAGAGTCTTCACAGTGGAATTCTGTTAAAAAGAAATTGGCCTAAACCTATACTTAGAAGCATAATATCCTGGAGCAATTGACCAAGTATGTCTTTTTTTCTAGCCCAGAAGATGTCCAGGCTTTGGTGAGCGGGAAGCTTGCACTTCGGTATGCAGGGAGGCAGGTAGGGATACCCTGACTGCAGTTCTGTCATTTTGAGATGAGCATGTTGTCAGAGTCACGATGTTTGATGAGACCAGTGCTCTTTGGGGCTTCATTCTACTCTCTTACTTCTCCCCCACCCACTTCCTTCTCTTAAGCCCATTCAGTGTATTTCCTAGATTGTTAAATTCTTGGCCTGGGAAGTCAGTGTTTGGTGCTCTTATGGACATTGGGTGGTTTGAAGGACTTATAGAACTGAACTGTAGCATTTGCAGTGAGTTAAGTTGCTTTTAGCTTTGACCAGAAGATTTATCTCCCGTGAACCTGACTTGTGAATTTAACATGTGTAGAATATGGAATCTTGGATTCTCCAAGTCAGGAGCCTGGTAAGATCTGGTGCATATGTGCTTTAGCGAGGTCAGATTGCTTGGTGTAGAAACTAGGTTTTGAGACTTACCTGAGAGCCTCAGATCAGTGCCTTTGCATTTATGCCCTGAATTTTGGGTGTGGTGGAAAAAGAGGACCTTTTTGTGCTACCTTAATGCCCAAGAAGGTATGAGTGTGACTTCTGAGAGCAAACAGTTATGTGTATAAAGATGATGTCTTAGATATTTGGACCATCCCCTTTTTGTACTTTGCTTAATTATCACTAGTAAAGTAAAAGTAACGTTTCTGGATTTCAAATGCAGTTGTCTCTAAACAACAGACAGATTGACTCTCTATATAATCTCACTGTCTCTGGAGGAATGGCCACAACAGCTGATTCCTTCATTCTCTTCAAGTGGCCCTAATTGGCTCTTCATCAGCAAAAGTTTTAGGTCAGCTCCTAGTTTTAACCTCAAGAATACTGGTTATTACTATAGTGAGAGATGCACTATGCTGACTAGAACTAGAGTTGTGGAGACAGGCTCAGAGAAGTCAAGTATCCAGGTTGAGGTCAGGTAGCTAATAAATGGTGGATCCAGACTTTGAACTAGGGTTATCTGGCTCTAAGTTTCAGGCTTTTCTCATTTTGACATTTGTTCTTTCTGTAGGACAAATGCTGGAGACAAACTACACTCTTGATTAGCCTGGTACTGTTTAGTCTACTGTGTAAGACACTGTCCTTAAATTTAAATACCTAGGCCAAAAGAAGAGGAGCTCCTTCTGGTCCCTTGTACCTTGATGACAGCTTGTAAGCAGGAGTTAGGCTGATCTCCTAGAAATATGAATGTTGCAGATTTCTTGCTAAGTGGAGACCTGATAGATTGGGCAGGCACCTTTTCTAACCAGGTTAGAAGTTGCTCTCAACTACTGATTGTACCTTCATCTCTCCCTGGGGTTTAACATTCAGTGTAATATGTTGGTGCCTCGATTTTGATGCTTCAACCCTAATGAAAGTAAACCTTGTTCAGTGGTTTGTACCAAATATAGCAGAATGAATCTGGATGAAGCACAGGTATAATCAGGTATAAGAGCAGGAGGGAGTTTGGGTGGGTGTGGAGATAGGAAGGGGGAAAGATATCACAGTTCTCTTGTCACTTTCCCTTTTAGCTTGTCATCTCTGGAGAGTGCTGTAGCAGGGTCTGCCTTTTTGGAAAACCTTCTATTTCCTAGTATTCTTAAGTCATCTCAGATTTCAAAGGGAAACTAGTTGGCACACAGTGGTTTTCAGTGTTTATAGCTTTTCTTCCCAGGCCTCTGAAAAATGATGGTGGAGTGGGTTCTTCCTTGTAGCAGAGGTTATGTGGGCATAGCATAATGCTTATGGGACTTTTTGGGTGGATATCAGTGTACAGAATAGGTCACTTTCACAATTTGTCTCTTTATTTTCAGACAGAAGCATTAAAATGCGTGGCTCAGGCTAGCAAGAACAGATCACTGGCAGATTTTGAAAAGGTGAGCATGGTATTGGGTTGGTAGGGAATGGGTGGAGGAGAGGGATGTTTAATTTTTAAAATTATAGTTTCACAAGAATTTACAAAGATATTAACAGTACAGAGTGATCCCATGTACCAATCACCCAGTACATTATCAAAACCAGGAAATAGTTAAGCACTATGGTAATAATGAATCTTGTTAAATTGATATAAATTACATATCATTTGTATGTAATACTTTCCAGTTTCAAAAAGTTCTTTCTGTCATCCTTTCTTTTACTTTGCTTTTTAACAACAGACATATTATCTTCATTTTTATGGTTGAGGGAACTGGGATTCAGGAGGATGCCCAAAGTCACACAGCTAATGGGTATCAGGGTTTGACTCTAGGCTTAGTGCTTGTTCCATATGGCATAGTCATAGGTATTCATACCTTCATCTCCAGAAGTGCCAGGTCTGGATAAGTCTTGATGTGCACACTTTGGCCAAAAGAAGCTTCCTCAGAATGGTGTGTTCTACGCTTTCTTTGACTCCTGTGCCATTTGCTTATTGTTTGGGAAGTTCCTAAAAGGGAGAGAAACTTCTCTAAGCCTTAGAGTAGGACTTGAATATTCTTTTCTGAACTTCTCTCCTCTTAGTCTGAGTATAGTGACCAACTTAACAAAAACAAAATCTATAGCCAGGTGTGATGGCATGCATCTGTAGTCCCAGCTGCTTGGGAAGCTGAGGTGGGCGGATCACTAAAGCCTAGGAGTGTGAGGTTACAGTGAACTGGGATCATGCCACTGCATTCTAGCCTGGGCAGCTGAGTGAGACCCTATCTCTACAAAAAAGAAAAAAGAAAAACCTAGATCCAGAAAGGAAAACTTAGTGAGGGTGGAGACTAGACCACATGACCTTGACTGTCCCCAGGATTCATCATCTCCCTGGAAGGTTCTTGCCAGTTCCTGTGGTCCCTTACTTGGCATGATTTGCCTGTGTCCTTTAACACTTTATAGCATAGCTGACATGAGGCTAGGATCTTGAGACCAAAACTAAAGGTAAATAAACCACACACATGAATAAACAGTCTAGATCATTTTATCCCAATGTTTGGGATATTTGATGGGACACTTCTATTTCAAGTAATTCCTTGGAAGAAGGGTTCTGTGATTGGATATTTAGGAAATACTAGGGTAAACAAAATTAGAAAGGTATTTTGTTTTCTTTCACCTGCAGAGCCATACTATGCTACTGATCCTCATAAAACTCCCAAGAGCTCGTTGTGGTGTTCAGCATTTCCCATTATCTAACCTTAATGTTGTTATTATTTTTTTCAATGGAGATCCTATTCTGTGGAAGACGTGCTGAGAAATGCTTGTGCAGTTAATTTGGCTCACCACCTGAGCTGCTTTTATGGATTAGTGGTTTGAGCTGTTGACATGAGGCTTTCTGAGAGAAAGATGGTCCACCTTTTAGTTCTTGATGCTCCTTTTCTTTTGCTTTCTGTCATCTCCCCAAATATCCCAGAAATGCATTCAACCATGGAAGTTACAAGGGCCAGCAGACTACTTAGGAAGTTAGGAGTAGCATGAATTTAAAGTGCTTTTCCGTGCCAATCTCTGTGACTGGCTCTTTTGGCAGGCCCTGACAGATTACCGGGCAGAGCTCCGGGATGACCCCATCATCAGCACACACTTGGCCAAGTTGTATGATAACTTATTGGAACAGAATCTGATTCGAGTCATTGAACCTTTTTCCCGAGTACAGGTAAGAACTCTCCTGGGGCTCTAACTGTTTCTGGTTAGGCATTCTCACTGTAGCCACCACCCTTCCCACTCTTGTGTAGAATAAGAACTTTCTTCCAAGGGTGTGCCTGATGGGCAAGAGACCACCAAGAGCTTTGGCCTCTCTTGACAGGATGAGCAAGAGTTGAGGAGAAAGGTTTTGTGGGGCAGAGGCATGTGAGATTGCACATGTTCTGAGTGCAGTCTCCTCCTTTTGTGGTCACTGAGTGTGAGGGATGGGACTGTGCTTATTGTCTGTAGCAGCGAAGGGCAGGCAGATGGGCAGAGCACAAGAGACTTAAGCATGGCCAAGGAGGATCTTGCCCCATAGAGACATTCAGCAGGATTTCAAGAGTTGCAGCAGTTCTCCCTGTATTCCTCCCTTCTCCTGTTGGAGGCAAAAGTAAAACTTTCAGTGTTGGTGTCTCTCTGCCTTTCCTTTTAGATTGAACACATATCTAGTCTCATCAAACTCTCCAAGGTAAGGAGTCCTGAGGCTGCCTAAGGGGTGGGGATGGGGAAAGGGTGGTATGGAGGGGCTGGCATTTGTACCCGATGGGCCTTTCTAGAAAGCTCCCAAGCTTAGTGGGGAACAGGGGGTGTGGGCTCAGAGCTGGAGTTGCATTGTTGCTGTTTTGTTTTCAGTCCATTTGTCTTCTATAAAGCTTTCGTGTTGGGGTGATCTCTGGCTAGTAGATACTGGTCCCTTTAATCATGTGCTTTGATTTTAGGCCGACGTGGAAAGGAAATTATCACAGATGATTCTTGACAAGAAATTTCATGGTGAGTAACAGTCGTACATGCAAGGGGGCTGCTGGTGGTGATGAGATGGTTGAAGAGGTTTATCTTTAAAGGAGGTGCTCTCTTTGTTTCTCCTGATGGTTCCCTGGGATCCTGGCCCCTCTTCCCTGCAATCAGAATGTGTAATAAATGTGTACAAATGGAACAGGGAGACAAATTCTGTTTCCTTTCTTTTCTGGAGAAAGACAACTAGGGAGTGGGCTGCTTCACAAATGCTTTGTGTCTAATCTCGTCTTTTACCTGGATTGCCTTTGTGTCTCCTGCAGGGATTTTGGACCAGGGGGAGGGTGTCCTGATTATTTTCGATGAACCCCCAGTAGATAAAACTTACGAAGCTGCTCTGGAAACAATTCAGAACATGAGTAAAGTAGTGGATTCCCTCTACAACAAAGCCAAGAAACTGACATAGGTGAGTGCTGGCTCCGGGACCCAGGGCCGGGCAGCACTGTCTTCTGCCTGTCGAGACTGAAAACCTCCTCCTGGTGTCCTCACGGCTTCCCGATTGACACTGCTCTGTCTTCTCTTGCAGAGTTGGATCTGTAGCGGTCCTTTGGAGAGTGTGTGTGGCAGGAGAGTGAAACCTTGGGGAAAGTGCTAGGAGATTCTTTTTTCTTTTTGTTCTACTTTTCGCTCGGAAAGTTTTTAAATCCTCATTTGGTGCATCTGTATTCCAGCCAATAGGTGTGCCAGTTTTCATGTAATCTTTACTGGCCCAACTTGGGAGTGGGGAAATTGCTTAAAAAAAAAGAAAAAGAAAAAAAAAAGATTATTCTAAATAAAAGGAAAAAGGCTTACACTACCTAAAGCTGTGCTCTCTGCCTCCTGGGAGAGGGCCGAAAAGCCAGGCACCCCGCCAACCACTGGGGGTCCTAATCCACCTGCTGGGCGTCACCTCTGCTCTTCAGAATTGGGTGTTTGCTGACCATCAAAAGCAATGACTTTTTATTCTGTTTGTACTGAACCAAAACAAACAACTGTGTACAGACTGCTGTTTTCTTTTTTATTTGAAACGAGGCGTTTCAGTGTTCTTTCCCCTGCCACCTGGCCTGTCCGCCTTTCCCTCCCCTCCGACATTGGCTCCGGCAGACTAGCCGAAGGTCCCACCGTCGTCGTCACCACTGCAGCAGCAGCAGCAGCAGCAGCAGCAGCAGCAGCAGCACCTGCACAGCTCCGCTCTGACCTGACCTGTGAAGGAATGGGGACAAGGCCAGGAGCTAGTGTCCACCACGGCCACACGGGGAGCAGTGTGGGCCCTTAGCCCCCAGGGGGCCTGCTGTGCATGTGGCTTTTTTTTTTTTTTTTAACACAGTAAACTAGATTAGACTGTCGGTGTTTTTATTGCCCTCCCCTCCCTTCCCCTTCCTCTCTCTCAACCAGGAGACCATCACATGTCTCTTCCTTCCTCCTCCTCTCCAGAGGAGTTGGGCTGTCTGAAATCCATCAGCTTCTCCCTCTCCCACTCCTCTCCTGCTGTCAGATGGATTTATTCCTTTTTAAACAGTGAACATCGGAAATGAGACTATGGGGTGTGGTTTTCTTTTTTAAAAAAAAAATTTTCCTTGTTGGGTTTTCAAGCAACCTCATGTCCCCTTCCCAGGGAGCTTCTTTATTTACCTCTTAGAACTCGAACAGATGGGAGGTAGAGCACTGTATGTCAGCATGCTTTGTTTTCTGATGCGATTTCATAGCAAGGCTTTAATGCCATTTGGGCAGGTAAGCTTCTGCACCTTTGCTGTGCTTAATATTTTCTTCTCTCATCTCCTCTTTGTCTTTTTTCCTCTCTCCCTCCTCCTGCTGGCCTTTTTCTCTTTCTTTACCTTTCTCAGATTATCCTTCCAGGTTTTCGTAATAAATTTATATTTTGTAAAAGGATTTTGTTGTACCAGGTTTTGCATCTTCACTGAATCTGACTGGCTTTTATTTTCCTCTCCAAAATCAGGTTTTTGTCCTTAACATCTTTCCCCATCATGTCCAGTCACTGTTTTGGTTTGGCACCATCAATATCAAATGTACAAACGGTTCTTGCTAACCAACACCAGGTATATCTGATGTTCAGATGAGTTCCAATAAAAATAATTTTTTTTTCAAAAGGTGTCTTTTCTTGAGTGCTGGACAGCTTCTGAGCAAGCCGTAACAGCTCTGTGTAGCCCAATAATGGCCTAGCCCTCTAGTCTGGCCAAAGCCCTGCTATCTCATTTGCTTAATGGAAGTCCTTTAGCTAAATTTGGGGTCTAAAGTTGGTAGGCTTTGGGCAAGAAAGTTGGTCTGTGAGGTCTGAAATTGGAAATGGAGCTCAGGTATCTTTTTCCCAAGGCAACATGGTCCAGCGAAGACATGGAGGTTTGGGCGGTAAGATTCCTGGCACCCATTTCCTCATCTGCTTGGCGAGGGTGATGCTCCTTTAGTAGGTGATTGTGATGTGAGGGTCATATGAAGTAAAGCAAGTACAAGTGTCTGGAGTCCTGACATTCTGTTGTGGTTTAGTTTCCTTTTGTAATCTTCAAAAGTAGTGATTTTCGTATTGCTTCAAACCCTGGGAGTGAATCTTGCGAGTGGCCCTGGGGGGCCCATCAACCCGTCTTCAGTGTGAGCAGTTCAGCCATTTGCAGTTTTCTCTGTGTATTCTACTTGCAGAAAGAGTTTTGCTTCTATGAAGGACTTTTAAAAGGTACAAAGAGACCCGCAGCTGGAGCGGAGGGGAGAGGGTTTCCCAAACCTAGGGCAGTCCTGAGGAGCTCAGGGCAGGAGCCTTTTTCTCTGCTCCCTTTGCAGGTCTTGGTCAGTGACTCCTACACCCGCACTGTCCTGTATGTAGCTGCTGGACACATATGGCCCAGTCCTTACAATGAGGCTAGTTGGAACTGGGATGCACTGCAAGTAGAAACCAAACCAGACTTCAAAGGCTTAGTGTGAAAAAAAGAATATAAAATATCTCAGTAACGTTTTTATACATGTGATGAAATATTTTGGGTATATTGGGTTAAATAAAATATATTATTAAAATTCACCTGTTTTTACTTTTTAAATGTGGCTACTAGAAAATATTAAATTACCTATGTGGCTTGTGTTTGTGGCTCACACTATCTTCTCTTGGACAGCACTGCTCTAGACCTCCAGGAACAGTAGTTGTGCCCTTGCTTCCTGAGACACCCCTCTCCCCCTTGTGAGCCGAGTCTGGGCACAACAGAGAAGGTCGCTGGCCATGGGCTGCCTGCGCCCAGGGCTCTAGCCTTCCCGGTGCCAGTACTGACTTGTGTGTTAATGAGACTCTACCGTCATTGGGAGCAGAGGCTCTGGTGCCCTGTTGTGTGCTAGTTATGTAATCTGTGCTGCCCAGAAGGGCCACTAGATGCTGCTCTGTGATCCCTGAAAGAACAAAGGATACTTCCTCAGGAGTCAGGGCTCAGGCTGGCTCTATTTGGAATCCTTCCTGGAAGCTGTAGCTGGCCACGGCCTTGGCCTCCCTTCCTCGGGGTGGGTGGTGTGGGCAGTGGGGCAGGCAGAGGAGGGGATGCTCCTGCTTGTTAGCTGCGCAGCCCAGCAGGCAGCCAGAGATAGGCTATAGGATAAGTAGGCTGATTGATGGGGGTGGGATTTGGAGATCTTCCCTGTAATTCTCTGATGAAGGCAAAAACAGCCCCGCATCATTCAGCTGGGTCTGCCTTCTGGGTCCTTGATGCTGCCATTTCTGGCAGCTAGATGACTGCCCTTGCTTGCTTGCGTCCCAGCTGGAGCAGTGATGGGAGCTGTATGGTGCCTTGGTGGGTAGGGCTTCCTGGCAACCCCTTCCCTGGTTACAGCAGTGAATATAATTTTTTTAAAAATTTTTTAATTTTTTTAAGAGACAGTCTAACTATGTTGCCCAGACTGGCTTTGAACTCCTGGGCTCAAGTGATCGTCCTGCCTCAGCCTCTGAGTAGCTGGGACTACAGGTGTACACCACTGTGCCTGGCGAGGAGCTCTTTTTGAAGGTGCTAGGGAAGGGCTGGCTGGACAAAGGGTCTCAGAGATGACGCAGGGGTGTGGCCCAGCTGGAAAAGGCCCGTGCAAACACATGCTGCTTTGATTCGGGAAACAGTGGGGTGAGGTGGAGCTTGGTATTCCCCACCATGAACTGGAATAGCGAAAATTGAAATTCAGTTATAGGTAAGAGCGGGCCCAGGTTTTTATAAGGGATGGGTTACAGGCTTAGAAATCTGGGCATATTTTGGGAAATGGAAAGCATTTAACCTTTGCTCAACACTAGAACCTGAAGGGGGCATGAGGCATAGAAAAGGCATTGTGGACGTGCAGCAGCTCCAGCTGATCCTGTCTACTAGGGGGAAAAGAGGCTGGGGTTCAGCTTTGCCTTTGAGAGGAAGGGAGATACCGAGACAGGGGACCTGAGGGTCCCAGCTTCAAGCTTACTGTAAAGGAAAGGAGGGTTGAGGACAGCTCCCTGCGAAGAGCAGGTAGGGTTGTGCATTGAGGAACATGCAGAGGGAGGGGCACGTTCAGCTAAGAGCCTGTCTTCACCTTCCAAGTTACCAGGCTAGCTGCTGTGGATACTCTGAAGGGCTGTGGAAGGAGTAGCCCTCTGGGTACAGGACGGTGCAGTTTCCACCCCCTAAAGCTGTGATTTAACACTATTGACAGAGAAATCTCTGGGTGGTGCCTAAAATCTAGCACTACCTTAATGGCAGCATTGTTCTGAATGATAGGAGATTCCTCTTCCCCCCAGGGCAGCTGGCAGAGGTGGCACGGGCTGACAGCCTAGTGTGCTGCAGTGGTCAGGAGATTGGGTGTTACCCTCTTTTTTGGAGCGCCACTCCCCCATCTCTAGGTCCAGAGGTGATAATCTGAATTAAGATACGGTTGGGTGTTCTGTTTCCTAGGTCTGTGGTCAGATTTGAATCAATCTTTAGAATCAAAGTAAAATAAAATCATAATAAATGAACAGTGGCTTTTGTGAAGGATCTGGATTCATGTCTGTGAGAGAAGTTCTTATTCAGAACCAGAATTTTGCTCAATTTTACCGGCATCCAGTTTTCAAATTATACATTTTTAGGAAATGAAAATCATTTAAATCGGAGGGTCAGAAGGCTGCCTGGCGGTCCAGTTGCTTCAATTTTAACGTAACAGAAACGGGTGAGTGGAAATTTCGAGGTCCTATTTGTGATGGGCTCAGGATTGGCTCCTCCGGCCGAGTCTGCGGCCTCAGGCCCTGTACCAGGTGGAAAGCCAGCCGCTGTTTGACGAGTGGCCAGAACCGCCCGGCCTCTCTGGCCCGGACTGCTGAGACCTACCTGGGCCGCGGGCATCTACCCAGGATGAGGGGACGGCACTGGAGCCGAATGGCCTGTCCACTCGGGATGCGCGGGGCGCTCAGGCGGCCGCAGTAAAGGCGTCGCCTCTCCCCGCCCAGGGCCTTCTTGCCCGCGCTCCCTGGCTTCTTTCCCGGGACGCGGCTGTCAAATGCAAGGAGGAGCTCGGCGCCAAGGACTCGGTGGAGGGCTTCTCACGCGGCCCGGCGGCAGCCTCAGACGGCCGGGACCCGGGCGGGCGCGCGGCCGAGAGCGCCCCCGCGGCCGGCAGCTGCGGGAGCCGCGGCGGGAACAAAGGCAGCACGTGTCTGGGCGGGGCGCGGGCGGGGTCGGTCCTCGGCCCCGCCTTCCCCCGGCGCGGCCCCGGCCCCGCGGGCTGAGTTCGGCTGCGCCGGCGCCCGCGACTCTCCGCGGCCGCGCTGCTGCTGGGCGGTGTCGCCGGACGGGCGGCGAGCTGTGCGGGAGGGGGCGGCACCCGAGGGCGGGGCGGGCCCGGCGCCGCGTGGACCCGCCGCCGCCGCCGGAGTCGGGCTCCCAGATGGCGCGCGGCGAGTAGAGGCGCCTCCCGCTCGCCGCCGCGTCGCACCCGCACGGCGAGCGGCTCGGGCTGTGGACGCCGGCGGCCGCGGCTTCCCGGCGAGACCGGGCCG